TTGCGCGAACCTAAAATAAGTACACACTTAAACTATGCAGACATATGCAGTCTTAACCTTAAAGGTTAAACACGCACTAACCATCCTTAGTGGGAATTGAATTCACAAGTAAGTTAGCGCAAGCATTGGCTACAGTAGCATACTTTACAATCTTGACGCGCTTGAAGTTGTTTAGATCGGCGTTGGAGGACAAGAAAGGTGTCGAGAAATTCAAATCGGCGTTGAAGGACAAGAAAGGTGTCAAGAAATTCACATCGGCGCTGAAGTATAAAGAATTGAAGGATGAACTCGATGCGGTATTAAAGGATATGAATCAAGTGTTTTTTCTCAGAGTGGCTGTCAAAGATGATGAACGTGCAAAATTGTTTCGAGCGGCATTGGAGGATACGGAACATGTGGAGAATTTCTTATACGCATTGAACGAGAAGAAATTGGCAAATGTGTTTAGATCGATGCTCAATAAAAAAGATCAGCTGGAATGGTTTGAAAAGGCTGTTAGTACTGAAACAGTTGGAGAGTTTACATGGAAACTGGATAGAAGAGATCAATGGATGCTAGTAAATGAGGTGATAAAGTATCAAGAAAAGGGAAACCTTAACATCAATTAATAACATTGTCTAATCAAATTTTATCTTCTATTGACAGTCTTCGTATTGATAGTATTATATAAAAATCCTTTTGCTTTCTAAATCGTTTTTAAATTGGTTAGTGTTCAAGTTAACTTTAAAGTTTTGTAAATTAATGGGAAATTCCAAATATATAAGTTTATTGTGTACTTATCTCTATCACTGTCACATCAACTTACTCTGCCGTGCATTGAATGGCCGTAACATGGTTTACTACAACGACATTCCACAAAAAGGTAGGCGAGAGCAGTGAGCACAGCAATTCGTTTAGTCAATTGTTTGCCAATTACAGCTCATCTCGACATCACGCCATATGATTTGAAAATGAAGCCTTCAAAGGATCACTTATGTGTGTTTTGGGTTGCAGGGTTACAACATAATGCTGACAATGTTAAGAGAACACATATCGCATCGTCAACATTAATGTAATCCTGCGACCCAAACACACGTATGTGATCCATTCAAAGCTTCATTTTTAAATCATATGGCGTGATGTCGAGATGAGCTGAAATTGGCAAACAATTGACTAAACGAGTTACTGTGCTCACTGCTCTCGCCCACCTTTCTGTGGAACGTCGTTGTAATAAACCATGTTGCGGCCCTATCCATGACAGTCGTATTTAACGCGCTCTGCCATCACATTTTGCTGAGGGCTAGATGGAACGAAAGTTTTGTGAAAGGTACCGGTCTGATGACTATCCTACCATCATTTTGTTCACGATTTTTGTTTCGTGGCCGGAATTCATGTATGTGAGACGAAAACCCTATTGATTATCGAGAGGATTCTTGAATTCCTTTCACTTCCGAATTACTTCACTCTTGCTTTTGGTCGAAAATTGCAACATATCTTGGGAACATCCTAAAAACGAGGATATTTTTTGCACCTCTCCTCAAATGAGTCCGCATTGGACCCATGATATATGTATGCACCCGCTTCAAAACATGTGTCGCCTTCGTCATCAAATATAAGAGAAATGTTTTGATTGTATGTTTACCCCTCAAATATCTGGAATCAATCTTTTTGTCTTTTGTTCGATCATCGGGATGCTTTGGTCGAGCACCATGCCTTTGTAAAGGATCCTTATACGGAGGTCATATGTGAGCATGCCTAAGCTACCACTGAGTGTCAGCCCTCAATACTCCAAGTAATGTGCTTCTTTCTACCAAGTTACGTGCTTTTTTCTGCTCACTGTCGAGCAAGTACGCTTCACCAATTCTTGTGCCCCAAGTAATTGCCTATTTTTTTCTCCAGAGCACATACACTGACACGGATAGCCCACACTTATACCGCGTTCAGCATGCTTGTTGGCAGACAATAATCGTCTGTCAAGTCCTGGGATTTTTCCACCCAAACCGGTCAGATATCACAGTGCCGATTTCGTTGACGAGCAACTTTTGGCCATCTACAATTACTGGGTTAATGCTTGCTCCAGGTCCATATATCCAAATAAGTCTTTCCTGTGGTGAGGGGTCGTGTAGGATGTGGTGCCACCGTCGATAAATTAGTGACTGTTTTTCGCTCACTGCTAATACCGCATCATTTCTGCTGACACGGTAATCGGCTGGGTACTTCCGCTCCATAAGGCCAAACAGGTCATAATTTAAACACTTGCTTCTAAATACACCGTAATTGCGTAGAGCACCAGCTTGTCGAACGTTGCCTCGCCCACGTTACTTCTTCCAGAATTCCCATTTATGCAAAAGTTATCGCCGTTCTTGTGCAGCTTCTCGGATTTTTCAAGCAGCTTCTTCTTCATTCAATCAGTGTACGTTTTCCACAATCGATGAGATCAAATCAAATTCCGACGTGCTGGCGCGACTCATCAATTAGTTCACCCATTGTCTGAAGATCCACAATCAGTTTGTCAAAAGAGTCAA